CGCGTCGTATGGCTGCGAGAAGGACGGCTTTGTTGACACGCTGCCGCTGCCGTGCGTGCGCGCGATGCTCGATGCCATGCAATCGGCGCTGGACAAGCGCGTGGCTGTAGCCAATGAGAGCTTGGACGACGACGTGCCGGTGGATCGCTTGGCGTGTGTCGATGGTAGCGAAAATAACGACGAGCGCATGCTGGTTTCCAGCCAAGCTAGACCGGCGAAAGGCCCAGATGATGGATGCCGTGCGCGATTGCGTGTTGCACTGCGTCGCGGACTCGGATCGGTACGGCAACGAGGTCGTTCTCAACTGCGTGTTGGAAGGCAAGGCGATGTTGCACTCGCTGGAGTTGCCGCCCGACGACCGACTTGCGCATGCTCGTGTCGTTGCTGACGACGCAGCTCCAAGACCGGCAAGCGCGCTGGGATGCTGTCAACTGCGTCGCGGCCAAGTTTGGTGCGTGCAAGCAAGAGATGCGCCAGTTTGCAGCCAACTTGTGTCGCGGCCAGATAGCCGCCAGTCTCTTGATCTCGACGCTTGATGAGTGGTTGGTGATGAGTCTCGGGGCTGCGTTTGGAGAAGAAGTTGTCGGCGTTGTTGCTGCGGCACTCAAGCACGCGTACTGGGTCCAGAGCGCCGAAGCGATGCAAGCCGCGCCCGACCATTCGCTGCTGATGTTGTTGCGTCAGCACGAGGTGCCCGAAGTGCTGCGCATGCTGAAGGAGCCAACAGAGCATGGGACGAGCGTGACGACGCAGCTCATCCACGCGCAAGTTCACAAGTGCTATCTCACCGTCGCTGCCAAGCTCGCCGACGCCGTCAAGGAAGGTATTCTGGCCGCTGCCACCTCGGCGGAAAATGCTGTCGAGTCGCGTAGTACAGCTATTCTTCACGTGTTGCGCCTCGCGCTGCAACGCCGCCTCAAGTGCAGCGGCACCAGCGTCCTTGTGACAAGTCTTCCATCCGGGAAGGGAAGCGTCTTTGACTGTGGCGACCATGGTCCAAGCCTCTTTTCAGTCCACAATGATGGGTCCCTCTTGCTCAACGTACCTCGGGGCCTTCTTGCGCGTCTTGACGAGCTGAGTTCAACCCTTAGTCCCTCGGTGGCCTGGAGCTCGACGATGGCGACGCGGACCCTCGACGTCATCCGCAACGAGGCGTATGGTGCGGTCGATGGCATTGTGCCGCGCTGTGGCTAGCCATGTTCGTGGTGCAAGTGCCCGTGTACGAAAGCTTTGGGCCACGCGTCGACGGGCCGTGCCGACGATCTTCTGCACGACACACTGCACCAGCCCGATGGCCTCGTCGGAGTGCGCTACAATGCCTCAAAATGTATCTCCGCGGGGAGCTGCGCGGAAGCCGTCGTTCGAGATGGTGTGATGCACCGCCGTGATGGGAGTTTGCACCGTTTTCAGGTCTTTGAAACCGTCTTCCCGGGGTGGGCGTTGCCGCGCGTCACACAGCGCTTGCCGTGAGCTCGTCGCACGCTACAACATGCGCAAGTGCGAGAAGATTCCCGCCTCGTACTGTGCCCATGACCTGCGCGACATTGAACGCACGCTGGAGCACTTGATGCAGTAGTGCGATCTGTCACAATGACAAACTACATGTAACCGTCGTCGACACGAAACTGCCGTGATGGACACATGAAACTGCTTTGATTCATTTCAGTGGGGGACACGTAGGAATAGAGTAAACCATGTACGATAAGAAAAAGCTCGACGCGAGACGCTCAGTAGTCGTCGCCGCGCGACAACACCTCCTTGCACGTTGGCCTACACGTACGATAAGAAGATGCGCAACCCATGGAATATTACGTACTTGAGAATGAACGTGTGCTCGTACTGCGCCGTGTAGCTGCCGCGGACATCCACAAGCGGCGGGTATTTCTATGGAAGAATATACTATGAGTCGATGGACGAGAGACAAAGAAGAAGCAACCGTCACGAGGCCGCAGTCGACGAGATGGTTGAGCGCGACCATGTACTTTTCCTGTTTGGCGCCCTTGGGGTTGACGTGCGTCGACCCGCCGTCCTCGCGCTCAAGCCAGCGCCGGCAGAACGCTAGAGTCCCGAACGTGCGCGTAATGTGCGAGAGAAGCTTCTTGGCCCGGGGCAGACGCAACGGCACGCGTGGGGCGTCGATCGTCTTGGCGTAGTGCGAGCACTCCATGTCTTCCACGACGTAGCCGCGGCCCGTCGAGCCAAAGGTTTTCAATCGCAAAGATCTCGCCTTCCTCCATCTTGGTGTTGTCATCATCGTCCTTGATAACCGGCACCGATTTGCCTGCATGGATCTGGTACGGCGCGATCGAGTGGC